TTTTCCAGTACATTCACTTGCAATATGATACAAATGAAACCACTATGTCCTATCTGACCATCATATCAACTGCTTTATGAAAACTGATAAGCACTTTTACAGAATCATTACCAGAGGCACTTGGGTGACATACATCAGGCAGTTTAAGTGGATGAATTCTTTGCATTGACTCTTCTTACACAGCCTTATTTAATTTCTATAGACTACAGAATGACCTTGTCATCTTTGCTGCCCTGGAGTAAAGCTTAGCTACAGTCATGGTTGTAATGTGATATAAATAGATCCAGGGGAAATTAAACAACTGAAGGCCAAGACTCTGGGGGAATCCTAAGTGTTGTAGGTAGTTGGCTAATTCTTCAGCAGAAGCCCCCTTTCCAAAGGGGAACACCACACAGGGTCACAAAATGTGCCTTTGTGTCATTTAGACCTTGACAAATTCTTCACTTGGAAATTTTGTCCGAGTCAAGGAGGGCAGGGAAAGGCACTTTGCTTTATTTCTCCTCTCTGCGACTGGAAAGAGGTAGGACACAGAAGAGCTTTCAGAGAAGTTTCTCCTGATTAAGGTCAAACTTTTTGGAGTAATGATACAGATGAGTCTGACAGAATCTAATTATTTTTCCAAAAGTACTAGACTGGGGCAGGGGAAATGCCACTGGATAATGTAAAACTTGAGTACCAGGAGAAGCAGCAGAGGGTTATGATGCACCTCATGTTAAACAGCATAGAAGAAGCTTTCCCAGAGAGAAAGCTTCCAGTGCCTCCAAGCCTCTCAGGAATCACCAAGGAATTTATTCATTTAATTATTTATTTTAAGCAGATACTCACCGTTTCATGGCCATCCAATCACTTGGCAGCTTCTCCCATCCCCCTGTAGCCCCAAGCCCTGGGGAGCCAGCAGTGCTCCTGGGGGCTGCAGCTCCCAGCGCAGCACACAAAGCCAACAGACCAGTTTTTCCATCCCCTGAGGTGTCCATGTGAAAATGGTTATTTGCTGCGATATCATCACGACAGAGACAAAAGAGCACCTCCAACCTGTGTGCACATCTCTGCCACTGCCTGCTGCCCTCAAGGCTTCCTGTGCATTTAGAAACCCTACCTTTGCCTTGCCACCAAAGTGCCACTTTCTGAAATCCTCACTGTCACTCCATCCCTGAAGGTGGGACAGCTCCCAGACAGCAACCATAGGAGAACGAGTTTAGCAGAGTGAATTCTTGCTTTCCTCCCTCCTTCCAAGCACAGAAGGCTTGGAGGCTAACGGCGGGAACATGCTGCAATCCCCCATCACCAGTGGCATTCATTTAATTAATTGCCAGCATGATAAGAACTGAAAAGTGAAGTTCAGAAAGGGGAACTTCCAGGCAGCTTGAAGAACAGCATTCTTGTGTTACAGCATAAGAATTGATCACACTTTCTTGAGTTTCATAATCAAGAATTTGAATTTGATGTTATCCTCCCAGATAAGCTTCAAATGGGCTCTTGTGAGTCACTGCCCTTCTTGTACAGGCTCCACCTTCCTACCAGTCATAAGGTGCAAATACAGTGAGCCCTGACAGGCCAACAGTCCACTTAGCAGAGTAGTGAGCACCATGGAGGCATGGATGCATATGCACATGCTTAAAATACTCTTGGAAAAAAATTATCTGAACACGTTTAAAGGGGGTGATGAGCTTCTCTGGACGCTCATTTTAACTTTCAAGTTTTGCCAACTCCCCTCCTGCTGCACAGCGAGAAGGTTCCCCAACAAGCTCTTCCACCAGCAAAACTCACTTCAACTTCTGAACACATGTATTCTGAACCATTACAGAAACAGAACCTGTCGACTCAAGTCTCACAGTGAAAGACTTTCTGTAAGGAAAAAATTTCTAGACTAGGAGGAAGCAAAGGAAGAATTAAAAATAGAGGCAAAAATGCATGGTATGCACCCAAGGGTCTGCTCCTGTGGCAAATTCAAGTAATAATGGAATTTTACACTGGACTAGGAAATGGCCTGCTATTGAAAAATAAATGCCAAGACCTTTAACACAAACAAATGTCTGTGTGAAACTGTGGATATTTATTTTGAGAATGGCAGAACTGACTCTGATCAGATCATTTAATTCTATTTACGTGGTGACTATCATACTAAATAATCCCCTTTAAAAATATACAGAGGTAACTGGGTAGACCTACACTGAAGTAAGAGAGGTCAGCTCTCAGAAAACAAGGTAGGAACCAACAAGAGACTAAAACATGCAGCATAACATTCATATTGTTACATTTCCTGTTCAATCACTGTAATCTATTTCACACTAGCATTGCTGAGTCTGATTTACCTGTCATAATTATCCTTCCATCAAGAGTCCTGTAGACATTTGCAATCATTTATAGTAGTTATATCAATGCTATCAACAATCAAGGCAACCAACAAACAGTGCTTATAATAACAATGCTAATATTCTATTTGATTAGAGAATATTATGAATTCTCACTTTGTGATGCACTTCAATCGCCACAAAGTGAACTGTCTTATTTAAACACACAGATTTTGCACAACTGGCATTTGTACCAATGTCTGCAGAAAGTTCCTTGGACTAATGTATTGACATGCTCCAAATGTCACTAGAAGTCTATTTGCAGTTTATTAACTATGCAAAAGAACAGGGAACGGTAGAGCAGCCTTAGGTCATGACAAACTAAGACATAAGGAGGGAGTGTTTGGAAGCCATTTAAATTCACTGGCAACAGATAATGCATGAGAAACTGCTCCATCTTAGCCAAGGGGAAGCACCTAGGACTATTAGTATATTCTTCCAAATTAGGAATAACCTTTCCTTTTGACCATGTTATCCAACATAAACGAAACCAAAAATCTTAAAACACACTTTTCCCCTTCAAGTTTCACCCTTGCAGTATTCTACTAATTCCTGTAGCTCATAATGAAGACATTTATTTTAAAGAGGCTGTCAATAAATCAGTAGTTTAGTGTCCTCAGGAGAGGCAAATGGATGACAGAACATTAGTACTCGAAGCCTCTGTCCAGTTCATGAAGAATCAGTTTACCACAGTCACAAAACCCAGTGTGTGGCTTGTCTTGTTTTATCTCAAATTCTACCAGGTAGGACCGCTTCCTGATAACTAATAATTTTTACATGCATGCATAAATGCCCTAGTCCAAATTATTTAGATTACTCACAAGAAATTAAAAAAGTGCAAATCAATCCCTTTTTAATGTGTGGATATTGCTACAGTCTTCATGGGTTTATATGTTGCTTACAATTCTACCTGTTACATTCTCCACATGTGCAGCTGCTGGGGGCAGAAGAAGGTTGGTTGTGTACTGTTTTCAAAGAAATAATTTAGCATGCACAAGTTATTCAAACAGGCAGCTTGGCAATGGGCAAACACAGCAGCCAGACAGGCACTATCACTATGAGAACTTTGTTCACTGTGTGAACTTTCCAAGCTTCAGCATATTTAATCATCTTAGCAGTGGAAAATCATGACCTAATCAAATTTCCTGTGCTGCCTTTTGTAGCTGTAGCAATGAGTGCCTTTTACTGCAAACAAAAATAAGAAAACAGCAAAGAAACTTACATATGAAAACTTCCCATATTTGATATACACTTCAAATAACTCAATACATCCCATTAAAAAAAAATAAATTACTACTACTAAAGATATTTGAAAAAAATGCTCTTCAGTGGACCTAACCTACAGCAGCACAGATAATGTACATTTAAAATATATAAATTATGGCAACCAGATGATATGTTTTGGTCACCATATTTAGATACTGAGAATTATGATAAAGAATTAGCACTCAACACATCATGTGTACCATGACTGAATAGTTAACTCAAGCATATGAATTATTCCTTCTTGCAATTCAGTTAACTGTGATCATATGAAAGTTGTAATTTCCCAAACTCACTTTTCTTTCATTTTCTCCTGTCTACATGGAAAGAAAAAACAATAAAAACACATAGATAATATATATTTGAACATAAAACTGTAAAACAGTATTTTAATCTGAGGAAGATTAGTGTAGTGAGAAAATCCATATGATGTACATCACACTGTTAATAAATTTGTGTGTGTCTGAAATTACTGCTCTGTAATTCCATACTGAGGAGAGGAAAAGAAATTATTAATTTCTGTCTTAGGACACACAGACACCACATCCTTTCAACCCAATGCTCTTTTGTCTCACAGCTCTGTTAAACAGTCAGCCACTGCCAGATGCTCTGGATAGAAATGGTCACAGATGGTCAGCTGTCCAGTTAACAGAGCAGGATGCTCTCCTCAAATCTTCCCTAAAATAGTATCTCAACTGTATTCAGCAGATGAGAATATCTGAGCATGGTCAAGAGGCCATTTGACCTAGTTAAGACTGCAGGTCAATTTTGATAATTTAGTCCAGATTAATTCTCCACAATAAGTAAACTCCTCAACAGTCAGGTGATCAATGGAAGGACTCCAATGGGACTCAGCAAGTTCTGTGCCCTAATCTTTGTGCTCAGTCCTGCAAATATTTACTGGTACTCCTTAAAATTATTAACAGAATAATAACGTGCACAAGGGCTACTTGCTGCTGTGACGGAGGCTACAAATAACAGAGAAATAAGGTAGAAATACCAGAGAAAAATCTTCGGTATTTTGAATTCATCTTTCACTGTTCCTAAATCAGGCATAAATACAAAAAACTGAAAAAACCTGCATATTAAAAAGACAGGTCATTTACCAGCAGTATTTACTAACTATAAGTTCTGCATCTTGTGATAAGCAGCAGGGTGTCCTTCTTCCAAATTACACAAGATTTACAAGATCTGGTTATCTCAGTGTTGTGCAACACACGTTTTGTGAGAGGATTATTCCCTCAGCAGCCCAACTGCAGCTTGCGAAGCTTACTGCTGGGAAAAGAGATGGTCAAACTAACATTGTTGCCCTGCAGGTCTAATGATTCAAGCTCTCTAAGATGCCGCTCTCTCAAAACAGATGAGAAATATTTTATATATACTCACCTAAACCACTGACAATATATTCAAGATCACTGGCATCCAACAGAATGGGTCCATTCTCCTGCTGCCCCTCTTCCTTGTAATACAGCTTGTACCCCTGAATAGCTGCAGTGTCCTCAGAGTCCTGCTGCCACTGCACTGAAATGGTTGTGCAGTTCATGGGCTCCAAACGCAGCTCGGGAGACTTTGGTGCTGGTTTTAAAGAAATAAACATAATAGTCTTATATTCTAGAAATGACTATTTTTCATGCAAAAATCCAGGTGCCCATAAGTCCAAAGTTCCCTCAAGACTTTGATTCTAACTCATCTGTGTATTCACCTAATTATTTCTTTCTTATGATGTCTGACTCCCTATAAACTAAATCAACAAATTAATTTAGGATAAAACAGAATACTAACAGCTTTTAATTCCATATCTTAATAAATAAATTAATACATTTATAAGGTAGTTATTTTTAAAGAAAAACAATAACACCCCAAAAATAGTTACAAAATTACCTCCTGTTTTAAAGTGAGACAGAGCAAATGTGAATTCAAATTACATATTTTTCAACCTATTCATGCAAAGTTGAATGTTCTTCTGCACGACATTACTAAATAATAATGTAAACCAAAGCTCAATTTTAACAACCCAAATTAGACTTCAAATACCAAGTCAATTTGCATATTCAAAGCATTCGTGCATTTTGTTTATAATACAGACTTACATGCATCAACTCAGACCCTTTAAGTACCTGTACACACTGCTAATGTGCAATGTCCCACTTGGCAGAAATGTATTTTACACTGAAAAAAATGGTGCAGGAAGCTTTAGTTCATGTTTGCGAGCTGATCAAACGTTTTAGCTTGTAGACTCAGTTTTGAAATTAAAAAAAAAAAAAGAAAAAAAAACACAAAACCCCCAACAAGAACCACAAAAGCCATTGGTGCTCAGTGCAAAGTATGCTGAGAGTCACCTTTCACACTGGTAGCCTTGGGAGTTCGGTGCGAAGTCCACAAAGATGCCTCTCCCCAGCCAATCCTTGTCGCAGCAGTGATACGAACCAAGTACACACTGTCAGGCTTCAGGCCCTCAAGGAGATACTCATCTGAAGTCCCTGGCAGCTCCAGGACTTGGATTTTGGTCTCTGTGCTGAGGCGGAAGGACAGACGGTACAGGACGACCTGACCTCTCCTGTATTTTGCAGGAATTGGCAGCCAAGATATGAGAATATCTGTAGGACTCCTGCTCGTCAAACTGATTTCAGGTGCTCTCAAGGGAACTAAGAAGGGAAAGACAAAGTTTTTGAGCTCAGAGAAAAAAAAGATCGAAAATTCTCATCTGACATCTTGGCCTATGCTGAGGTGCCAGTAGTGTAAGAGTAAAGAATCCAGCAAGTTTTGCAGATTCTTGTTCAGGGATAACTTTACACTTCTTATACTCCTCACCTATAGCCTAAGCAACCTTTTTTCTTTAAGGCCCTCAACATTATCTTCTCTTATTGCTGCCAGCAGTAATCAGCATGTTAATGGTCTGAAAACTGCCTATCAAGGTTAGATACAGCAGCTCAAACTGAGTCAGGACAACCACCTGTACTGTCACAGACTCAGTGCATGTTTTCTTCCACCAACCATGTAATGAGGGTTGTAACTCCTGACAAAGAGACAGGCAGACAACTGGAACTGGCAATGTTCCATGCTGCCAAAGCTTAACCCTGTCAGAATTTATTAATCAGTTCTAATGCACAACACTAAACAGTTTGTTATTGCCATGATGTTCAGATTAATTAAATCACTGCACAGAAATAAGTCAGTAGGGTCTTTTAAGACATTCCAATTGTACTAAAAAGCACATAGACACAAAAAACAAATCAAAATGTTTGGGGGGGTGTATAGCAAATTTTTATTTCAAATTTTCCTACAACATCTGCAAAAAAATGGAGTGGATGTGCAGTTTGATCCACATTTCAGTCATAGAGACTAAATCCTAGGTTACTATCAAATTCTCAACATCACGAGACTTCCTAAAGGTCTAGAACAGTGATTAACATGATTTAACAAAATGTCTTTCAAAACAGAAAAATACTCCATGTGATGTACACTGTTGCTCTATCAGAATGTTTTTTGACTCTCATTCCTTTCATTAGTTGGCTGGCTTGCAGGGTGTGTGTCCAGAAGTCTCACTGGTATCGATGGAAATTTGAGATCCTCGAGAACGGTTAGCACTGGATTTCACATTTCTATTCAGTGCAAATAAAAATGTTCACCAAAACAATTTGTCTTACCATCTTCAAGGGTGTGCTGAGTCACATGATCTGACATCTGACTGGCTCCCAGAGGCATATAAGCTACAATATAGAAGGTGTAGTTGCTGGCTGGTTCCAGGTCATCAATAATGTAATGGGTTGTATCATTTCCAATGACCACTTGGTACTCCTCATTATTTAAACCTGGCATAAAACAAGGGTTAGACAATCAAAAATTCCTGAAAATCCTCAAACATCACAGTGTCTTGGCTTTAAGATCTTACAGAGTAAATGTCACTTTCTTCCCCAGCCTACTTTTATGTTTTCAACCCTACTAAGTAAAAACTCTTTCATGCACAGGAATAACTGTGTCTTGCTGTGCTGCAGGTTATGGTGTTTCAGGTTTTTGCTGAATAAGGGATGCTGAATGCAACTCTAAACCCTATTTAAAATTAATCACAACAAACTATGCCCCATGTACAGTAACACAACAAGCTCTAATAGCCTCATCATTCATACCGAGCTTCTAAATCTATTTGTTTAGAATCAGGGAGGTTTTTTCAACACCTATTTACAAAGCCTTTCTATAGCAGACTGCGAGGAATGTGAAGGCTTCAGTCCACCAAAAACAAAACAAACAACCCCCTCCCCAAAAGAAACAAACAGAAAGAATTTATTCAGCAAAAGGATCTCATTTTAGCCCTGCAATTTCTATGTACATTTGATTGACATGGGGGTTTTTTCCTCAATTTGGAGAAAGGCCAATAAGAACAGACCAGAATGAGCTTCAAAAATGTTTGGCTCCTTAGCAAGTTGTTACAAAAGAAAGAATTAAAAAAAAAAGAAAAAAATTGTCAGCAATTCACATTAAAATATGCATAGCAATGCAGGCAGCAGTCCTTGTCTTTGTTGGGCTTTATTCCTATAGAGGAAGGCTATGAAGTGGACCAAGTGTGGTGAAAGCTGCTGTGTTAACGAACAATTCACACCAAGTGCATGTCACCTTAATCAAAACTCTCTAAGAGCCAGCTCCTCCTCTTCACCACTGAATTTATAAACAAAACGAAAGGCAAATTCCACCATTAAGTTTTCCCACATTTATGAATTAACTTGATAGCATTTTAATTAGACAAGATTACGAGCATCTCACAACAGACTAGTTAATGGCTTGTTAATTAGGAATTGCAAGGCACGATTTCTGACCTGCTAAACAAGATCCTTGAGCTCAAATTAAAAGGACTTGTTCTCTCATTGAATGGATTGCTAGGCCTCATGCAGAGGCCCTAATGAAACAGCCATAATAGAGAACAAGGCTTGCCTTCCACCACAATCACTGTTCCCTTTGTGCCTTTTCTAAATCACTAACAAGGAATTAACACACTCCAACATGCACGCTCATCAGACCCTTATTCTTCTTGCTACTATGACCCCGATTTGAATGTAAAATATTCTGCTAAAAGAAACAAAAAACAAAACCACAAAACCCACACCTGTTAGTTTCTTCAACTAACTTGATTAAAACACTAACTTTTTTTTTTTTGTAATAGGAAAGAGAACGTGAACTTGTTTTTACAGTGAAACATCAGAATATTCAGGTTGTGAAATTTAATGATGAGAGATGGTATCTTTTGTAATCAAAGCACCTACCACATAGTGAAGTCTACAGAAAAAAACATAAAACTGCATATCATTCATGCATTACCCATTTTTGCTTTCTGTTTAAGAGTTTATGGAATCATAAAGCATCAGTACAACTCAGGAGACTTAGCAAGCACTGTTTTCCTTTGGCAATACTGTTTTTACTCACGCTTTCAAATGAGGTTCCTAACTAAAACAAGAGGGCAATACGTGAACATAAATGTATAAGGAAAAAAGTTACACACGAGAAGATTTGAGCAAGATAAAATCTATTTACGTCAGATATATCTGATACCATTTTTAACCTTTATTAGAGTCAGAAACAGGGTGTGAGAGTGGAGTGGGGAAAGACAAGCTGAAAGGAATAGTGAAAGCTATACATTCATACAAAACATTTACATTAATACATAATAATCCAGAGCCTTTGAAGCTCAGCACTTTTTTCTACAAAATGAGACAAAAGTGCTTTTTATGTGCTGATGCAAACTTCTGGTACTACACAATCATGTTACCAAATTAAAAATTCATGCAGATCATCTACATTTTGAATCCCATCACCGTAATTACACCTCTTAAACAGCCCTCTCCACTCTCTCTGTGTGGATTTCTTCACAAACATGAAAGGATGCATAACAGCATTACATTAAATAAAGTAAATATCACAAGACAGTCAGGAAAGATGAAAAAAAAGGGTAGTTGAGAAAGTGAGTTCAAATAAATCAGAGGTTTCTGCTTGGTTGGTTGCTTTTGTTTGAAGTTAGTTTTGTTTTTTAAACCAAGACAAGCTACAATCTCATTTCACAGAATACAACCTTTGGATAAGCAAGCAAGGAAAGCAGAGATTGCAAAACGATTTTGCAGAAGACATTCCAGAAGATACCTCCTTTCACTACTGTGCAAGAGTATTTCCTGCACAAATACACACTTCCCTGAGGACAGTTCTGCAGTTTTCTTTGAAGTTACCTGGTCTCTGCTCTCTACAATTATCCAGATAACTTATCTAGTGTGACTTTATTCATATGAGCTTTAAGAGGGGATTGCAAGCACAATACCTCAGTGACTGAAAGAGTAGGGGGTAATTTCCCACACCTCTTGTCCTCATTATCTTTTAAAACTCTTTCCTTCCTTCCTTCCTTCAGACAAAATTCTCTTGTGTCCTGAAATATCCCACTTGCAAAAGCAAAGGCAGCTATTCCTGCATCAGTATTAGAGTAATTAAGCTGTCCTTCCTGTCCTCTGCTTAGCAGATGGCAGGCTGGTATTCCACACAGAGCTGAGCATCTGCAGTCCTGTCCTTCAATAAACCACTTACTGAATAGAAATGGAAACAGAAATCACTCCTAGAAAACAGAGCTGCATGGCAGCTTACTTTAAGCACCTAACAATTTTTCAAGTAATTTATCAATAGTTTCTGCTTTTGAAAAATAGCTGTTTCCTATCACCTTAGATATATCTTAAAGGAATTACATAATACTAAGGGATTTTATAGTGTCTAGTTACTCTTTTTATTCCAGCTACTCATTCCCTTTCATACAGGAATTTGTATATCATTTCAGAGACTGGGATAAACCATTCATGGCTATTCAGCACATTTTAGTGTTTGATTATACTTTTCTCATTACAGAAGACCAAAGGTGAAAGGAGAGTGGATTTTACCACTCGGCCAATATTCATTCTAAGAGACGGTAGGTAAGACAAAGTATCAACTATTCTACTCCAAAATACATGAAAGCTGGTAAAGTCACAAGAATTTGGGGACCTAGACAAAAGAGAAGTCTGTGGTGAAAAGTTCAGCTCTGTAAGCCTCCAAGACCCTGCTGTAAGCTTGTTCTTCCCTGCCAAGCACACACAGAAGAGATTGGTCTGCTGAGGACAGAGGGAAGCCCAGATAGCAGTATGGAGGCCCCAGTTTTTAAAGTCCACTTCTAACTTCAGAATCTGCTCACTGGAGCCATCAGACAAGGGTGAGTTGGAAGAACACTCAGTCCCACAAAATGAGATGATGGGGCAAAGACATTTTTCCCCAGGCATGACTGTTGGTTACAATACACAAGTATGTGCTGCCGTGCTCTGACGCAGCCCTGGATACAAACCATTCAAATCTGATAGTCTTTGCAAGGACATTCGAGTTCTTCTTGTCACATACAAATCATTAGATAGTATTTAAATCCCGCTGCTTACCTTCTGCTTTCATGTAATGCACCGAGTATGCAATCACTTTGTCTGAGTTATACAGCGGCCTCTCCCACGCCAGCAGGATTGCTGAGCTTGACATGGTTTCAGCATGGACGTTGTAAGGTGCACTGGGCCTGTCTTCTGACATAACTACAGTGAGTCTGGCCCTTGAGAGAATAGATCCCTGGCTATTCTCAGCCATGCACTGGTAAATGGCATCGTCTTCAGGAATGATCTGGTTAATCACCAATTTACTGGATCCAAAAGGAAGAAAAAGGTAGGAAAAAAAGCTCACATCTTGGATAAACTTAGCTCAACAACAGGTAAGTTTGCCTCTGCTTCCTAAGTTTAGGGCCACAAACTCTTCTATCAGAAATGGATGCCCAGCTGTGAAATTTAGCAGCTTGAAGTGTTCCTCAAAACCAGCTGTGTTTCTGTTTATGCCTGCAAAGCCAGGCATAGCGAAAACCAACCTGCACATCTATTCCCTCCCTGCAAAACGCAGAACCTTAAACTGCTCACTCTACAGAAGTAGTAGCAATATTCTGCTACACTCTGTATATCTAAAGTAACTTTGTGGTGAAACTCTTCAGTTCATCCTGCCCACCCACCCTGCCTGGTATTGCAATAATCACATAAGCTTTACTGATTTTAGGGGTTGACTAATCTGCATTCCTTCTACCAAGGAAATGCCCCTGACTCCATTTAATGTCTGATTTCAGGTTTACTTGAGTTGTATCTTGATTGGCTACATATAGTTACTGGAATTTCATCTTTTGGTAGCGCAGCTCTCATACAGCAATTACAGTCTTACCTGTTGTACATTTTTATTCTACCATTGGAGTGTATTCTCCTTCCATTCTTTAACCACGAAATTTTAGGGGCAGGATTTCCTTCTGCCTGGCAAGCAAAACGGGCAGTACCAGCTCTAGGCCTTGTTAAGCTTTCCGGCCATTCCACGAATGAAGGTGGAGCTACAGATAAGTAACAAGGAGAAAAAATAATTTTAAAATATTGAGCCCCAAAAATGCAAGGACAGCCATAATAATAATTAATTTTCTACACACAAACCTCTCTCCTCAGGCCTCTCAAATAAACATACACCCATGCAAAAAGCACCTTCCTTATAAACAAAGCACATTTGTTTAAGGCTACAGACTATCTGCACAGATAGTGATATTTCTACACATTTTTATTTATGCATTTATCCATAGAAACAAATCAAACTTCAGCCTATGACATACTGTTCTTGAAGTATAGATATATATCACATATTTCTACTTGACTGCAGGATCCTTTTCTGTGTTGAAAGCCTGTCTTCCCAGAGCAAACATTGCACCTGGGTATCTCCAAGTGCCAGTTCATGACTCAGACGCCGAGTATCTGACACTTCTCATCTAAGTCAACAGACAGAAGAAGGCAGCCACAGTTCTGCGATCTGTTTAACCTCTGCAGTCTTTCCTTGCGTGATGTTTCAGATAAAAAGTGAGCCCAGTATACAGCAGAGCTCAAAAACACAGACACAGGATGTTAAAACACACTGATAATCAAGGCAGCTTACCCAGCACGGTGAGAGTTGCCATTGCTACCGTGAAGTTCCGAGTGCCTGGAATGGTGGCCCGACAGATGTACACACCTGCATGCTGCCCCTTCACATCAGAGATCATGAGGTTCCCGTTGCCAAGGACACGGGTATTGAACACATCAATGGACTTATGGTCTGTTTGGGAAAGCAGCAGAAGTGGGTCACAAGGCTGTTCAACGTATCTAAACACCTTCACTATATAGGGTTGTCTAGGCAGTAATAGCATAGGTTAGAGTTTAAAAGTCAAAAGATGTAAAGGAAATCACAGATGAACTTTCAGAGGTTTTGATTTTGCATTTACTTTTCTCTTCACTCCAGTTATCTGACCATTCAGATGGTTGGGCCTCACCACATCATAAGTGGTTTATATCTGAAATTTACCATCACAGCTAAAAAACTAATACCTTTTCCAATTAGACTCCTCAATTGCCTTGCACTATGATTCAGTTCATCACTACCAACATCCACATCATCTTTACAAACAGTGATCATCCATTTCTGAATTATGCTGTGGATAAAAATCAGTATGTTTGATTACAATGTATTTTCTTCTATTTTCACAGCAAATGCTCTATGACTATTAGGGAAACTTTTTTCTTACTTCTTTGTCTATAAGAGCCACTGAATCAAACAGGAAAGATACATTTATTTCTCACACTTTTAGAAATAAAAATGGAGGAAAACTTTTCATGATTTGTTTCTACACATACAGTCCTGACTTTTTGCATTTAGGTACATGCCAGAATAAAAACAAGGTAGTTTTCATGAAAAAAATACAATGCACTGCTGAATGTTATTATTCTTACTGCATCCCTCTTCTCCCCTTCTTCCCCTTCCAGACTATTCTGGGTTTGTCTACACCTACTCATAGTCCAAATGGTCCATTAACACAAGGTCCAAACCACATTCACATAGTGCTTAAGAGTGGGAGAAACATTTACAGGACTGTTTCACAGGATGCAACCACCCCAACCTGCCCTAACTCACCACTGATCCTACTCCAGTCACAGATCCCTGGAGGTCACCATCCTCCCTGTCACTGTGCCCACCCTGGCTGGGTCAGTGAGGGACTGGCAGTAGAAACAGAGTCTAAAGGCTCAGAAAACCTCGGGGCTTCTTAAAAGCAGCACGGAAGCATGGAACTAAAAGTGTTTCACTTATCCTACCCTAACCTACTACATGAAGCCTCAGAACAGTAACCTAGTTGCTCAATCCTTTCTTTCCACTTTTACTTCCTCTCCACGGGCTGAAGGTTGCATGCTGTAGTTTTGAGACCCACCTAATCGGCTCCATGAGATGATTGGCTTTGGATTCCCTGTGGCTACACACTCCAGTATGACAGTTTGATGAAGAGATGCTGTAATGTTTTGAGGACCAGCTATTATGGATGGCTTGTGAAAAGGCTTCAAGTCAGAGGCTTTGCAGGAGGGGAAAAAAAGAAAAAGAAGTGAGAACAATTTAAAAAATTTCAATTAAATATGAAATAAAACATATTTTTTTAAGGATGCTGAAAGTTAAATTTAAACCAAAGCCTTATTCAGTAATTGTGGAAACCTACACTGAACAATATTTTAGCCACAAGATAAAAGGAGGCAAAATTATTATTTGGACAAGTGGTTCAGAGAACACTTACAGCTCTTTCAAGCACCTTAAGAGTTTTTGCTACAACATAAAAAAGAACATGATGACATCCAAAGACCCTCAGGTGGTGAGTACCTGGGATAACACTCAGCACTGCCTCGGTGCTTTTACGTCTGTTGGCTGTTGTTGTGGCAACACATCGGTAATTCCCAGCATCCCTCTGTTCCACACCATAGATCTGAAGAACTCCTGTAGGCAGAGCCGTTATCCTGGCATAGAAACCAAAAACAGAAATGCAGATCAACGTTCAGCCAGTGAACATCATCATGGAATTAACTGCTTGATTTACAAACAGTCATTGCTACACTGACCTGGGAACAGCAGCCTGCAGGCTCAGAAACATTCCCGATCCATGACTCACCCCCCTGCATTTCTGAAGTACAGGCGAAATTCCCCCCAGCACCAAGATGAGAGCAGAGGAATTTACTTTCAAGAAGCAAATTTTTCTCACCCTCAGAAGGAACCATTCCAGCCTTCTTTAGCCAGCTACTACATTCTTATTATTCAGACTGGTTGATTTTTTACAGCGGGCTCTGATGTAGGGGCATAACTAGTGTATGGTTCCCAGAAACCCATCTATGGTTTCAATTTTTATTTTCTCTTTTCACCTTGCTTTGCACGGCAGGTATCTTAGACATGTTCAACCAAAGTTACATGTCAAAAAGGATGGGAGTCACTTCAAGGAATACAAAGTGGACAGGGAATCTAGCAGGGAGCAGGTTGTATGCTCCAAATCAATCAGCTCAAGAAAGTCCTCCAGCACAGAATTTCCCTGGAATCAACTGTTTTAACTCAGTTTTCTGCACATATAATTCTTTATTGTTCCTCTAAAGAAAAATAGGTTCAGCATCAATTCTTTAGTGAAAGCAATCCTGCTAGTTCAAAGCACCCCCAAAGCCAAAGTTCACCTATTCCATTCCCCACTGCAATTCCCATTCCTGAGGATGCAAATTTCATACAAAATTTACCAGTAAGAATTCAAAGGTGACTGATTACTGTGTAAACAATAGCAGGTGACTCTAGTCTGCACTCACAGCAACTATTCAAAATTAATTAGCAACACAATTATTACCAGCTATTTTAATAGTTGACATACTATATACATGGAAACTTGCTTATGTAGTGGCACTGCCAGTATTCAGATTTTCTTCTCGTAGTAGGGTCAAAATGATAGCAAAAAATAAATTACACTGTAAAACCTCCAACTCTCCATACCTGTCCATGACTAAAGGTAAAGTTGTTCGATTCACTTCCCATGTCACAGTGGCAGGAGGGTTTGCTGTTATTTTACAGGCAAATCGAGCTACTCCACCCTCTTGGACCTCAGTTGAAAGTGGCTGGACTTCAAATGCAGAAATGGCTAAAAATAAGAGAACATAAAAGTTAATGGGCTGAAGTGAGAACAAATTCCCGATTAAATCAAACTCCAGTTCACAGATCAACTTATAAAAACACCCAGAAATACTTCAATAGCCCTTTTTTTTCCTGTATGCAAAAAAAGGTGGATCTAAGTACCTTGTCAACTTTGGTCAATAGCATGTTTTCATTGGTTGAAGGCTTACTTAAAATAACTTTGCTTTAAGCTAAAGCATAAAAAAATGAAATAGAATTAAGCATATAAATTGACTGGCATGCAGCTGGAAACAGTATCAATTATCAAACTAACAAAGTTCAAGTCAATTCAACTAGTTTGGGACTGGCCCTGTTACGCTTAAAAAAAAAATAAAAATTGACTGCAATAGAAAATTTCTGAAACAACATTTGGTTCCTGACAGTCAGATTTCAGTCCCTTAACAATACTCGCTTTAGTAAAAGCATCTGCAGAGTTGTACAAGTTCATGTGTGGTAAGAAAAAGAAATCAAAACCCCATAAAGGTCTCAAAATAAGCTTAAATATGCAAAAACACTTTTATCCCAACAGCCCGAGCAGTCACCACGCAGATGCCTGATGCACAGAGCAGCAATGTGATTTTGAGCATTTACAACTTAAGGAGTTCACAAAATCGAGCCAACTGAAGTGGCAGATCAATAAATAACCTCCAGCCAACAGACAGCTAGGAAAGCCATCAGTAGTTGAATTTCTTTACTCAAAAAATAAAAGCCAAAGGGAAAGGAATACAAAACCCCCTAATTAATTGCTTATTTACTGCCACTTACAACATAGCTAATGGAAAGCACAACTCTTCAGAAGGAACTCCTTCTGGATAACAACACAAGTAATTTCACAGACATTTCTACCCCCTGTAACTGCAGAGGGAACAATGTCTGTAAACTCAGTGGTAGTTATTTGTTTTTTTTTTCTATAAATCAGATTTTAAATAAATTTCAACTCCTGTATAAATTATACAGACACATGATTTCAATAAACCAACACTGTTACCCATCTCTTAATATTCAAGCTTTGTATTTAAATAATTTCTCTATTTTACTTGTTTAAAATCAATACCATTTTTTCATTCTATTTACTCTAACACGTTCTCAATAATGCCCTTCTGCATGATGACACAGCCAGTACTGATGCACACCAGGCTCCTCCCTGCCATTTTCACACTCCTGTACAGCATCCATAGATTAGTACTGGAGTGTGAAGGAAATGCAAACTCATCTGGTTGCTCTCCTCTCCACATGCAAATTAACTCCTAACATGGGCCTAACTACATAACTTAAAGATTCCTGTTACTGGTATGCCTATTTCACTTCTCAGGTCTGAATAAATCTGCTTTTTGCATTCCTGGAGTTGCACCAGCACTGCAGGAATGAGTGTCCCCAGTCATACCAGCAGAGTGAAAGTGTTGCAGCTTTGTGAACAGACCTCCCAAAGACTGTGATTAACAAGACAACAGAACCACCTAGTACAGTAAAATCACCTGAAGGCAGTTGGAGCCACGTGGTGCAAACAACCTGACCACTGGAAACCAGGTCTGGCACCTCAAATGTGGTTCACACACCCAGAATGAAAGCAGAGATGCTCCTGGTACTCATTTTATGACCAACCCCGTGATTTTGGCAGCAGGTGTCCACAACCCCACACACACTGTTCACCTTCACCACAGACAGAACTGGCCTCTCTCACCTCAGAATTTAACCCAGTTCCCCACCTTCCACTATTTGTTCTTTCTTTCCCTTTTGGGCAGTATCAAATTCAAGAATAAGCACATTAAAAACCCCCACAACTTGCATAAAGATGTCACAATAGAAGTCTTACATTTAAAGCCTGTTGGGGGAAACACAAAAGCAGTTCTCCCTTTAAACAGATTTTCTTTTGAGAGCAAAAGGAATTATCAGAACTAAAAAAGAGACATAAGAGGTCCTTGCCTACCTGCAAAAGCTCAGCTTCACAGAACAGACTCAGTACAAGTCAAATGACCTGCACGTACACCAGGTTGTTCCCATGACTCTAAACCTTCTGCATTTGTTTTATGCTGAATTTGTTGCAATCCAACTCTCTTGTAGTCTTCCACCACAGAAGAGAGGCGGAGGGAAAAAAAAAAGGAGGAGGAAAAAAGGGCATCCAGGCTTGTCTGTCTTAACCCCTGCCCTCCTTCTCTGTTTTAATTGCTCCCTACACAGATAATATGTGTTCACCTGGAGTTAAAATAGAATTTCCCTAGTGCTGTTCTTAACAGATTTTCTAGCAGAAAATACAGTGCTTTGCATTCTTCATTTATTTACTGAAGGTATGATGCAGCAACCTAGACAAGTCTGCTCACATTTCAAAATAAAGTCTCTAGGAATGTAATAAAGGCACAGATTATAAGAACAACCCAAACCAGCGCAAAATGAGTTTCAGAGCCATCCTGTAGCACAGCTGCACCACCACTGGCATAAAAAGGGATCATTTCAACAAGACAGAAAGGTAATCACACAGTCTTACTGAAGCAAAGCTCCTACACACCTTTAGAAGTTTCATCTCCATTGGAACCAAAAAAATAGCATCCAGAATTTCCTTATATTGATATGATTATTTAAAGGGACAGAGTGAGACAACAAAACCACAATATTTAGTTTTCAGTTATGTATATACAAAGAGTGATTTATTTCCATGTGTCCGGTACATTACAGCTGAAGATTAAAGACAGAAGTGAGACTCTCAAGAACAACAAAGAAAACTGAGGGCAATTAGTATTTCACAGAACACAAAATGTAATCATGATAGCAGGCAAGAACAGGTTCAGCTACAGAATTTAGAAAGTCCCGTGAAAGTTGTTAATTGAAGCTGATATGTAATGAACATTTTTCCACCTCAGCAGGAACAATGTATTTCCTCTGAAAATTCATCTTTAAAGACAGCAAAAGTCAGAACTACTAAGAACTGCATAAAATATTCAGAAAAACTTATTAATGTCACTAAACACAGTTTTAGAAACAAAAAATCCCCACTTACCTCTCATCTAAATTTATACACTGTCTATCAGTTTAGCTCAATACTTGCTCCTTCTGTATCTTGTTTCTTTATGCAAAACTCTGGTTTCTTCTTAATTCTGACTTTATTTGTTCCAGTAAAATCTGTTTTTACAAGTCTATTGCTGTCTCGTGAAACCTGACCTCTTTGTAACAGGCTTGTTTTCATGGCAAGTGCTGATTCCAGCTCAGAACCCCAAGAACTAGTCATTAAAACAGTGCTGTTAAGAGGCCAGAGCTCTATAAAATGGATAAGAAACAAAATCTCAAGAGACATACGTTGTTCCCAAAAACAACCCTGCAAAACACAATAAATGTAAGTGCCTTTTTATTTGAGTTTTCCTCCCCTCTTCTGCAGTCTATTTAATCATTTTGTTCCCAGATTTATAACCAAAAGAAAACGATTCAATGATACACTGAGAAGCTGATGCTGCCATCCTTTTTAACCTGCAAGATACCAAATGCTGCCTACAGAACCAGAAAACAATATTTACAAACTGTATCTATTTTATAAATTCCTGCAATGTATGTGATGGGAAAGTGTGTTTGTATAGTTACTTTTGAGTATGAATATCTTTGCAGGACAGAACTGTGTGGTTTATGGCATCAGTGTTATCTATGCAGAGAGAAATCAGATTTCAGTTCTGGTAGGAGTTCCCTTGTTTACCATTGAGAAAAATATCCACAGGTTCAAAACCCAAATGATTACTTGCTGTGATTAAACACTGATTAAGTGTTAGAGAACCACTGCTGATGACTCCTGCACCATATACCATATACTGGGACTGAACACTATCCTGCATGCCTGCAAAAACTTCCTCTGTACCTAAACAGGTTTACACAGATTTAAGGTACAAAAAAGTAAAGCTTAATTCCTCACACCTTTTGCTTGTTTGTTTAAATGCAGCAGCAGTCCTCCACTCACTTTAATTCTTAAAAAGAAGAAACACAACACACTCCCATTTCATTCACTCCTGAAATGAAGTCCTGAAGTTTGCTGCAACACAAATCTGGTGACTTGTTCCCTTACACTCTGCACTTTCTACTCACACACTTCATGTCATTCAGTGATTTTCTGAATGAGCTTTCTTAAAAGGCAAAAGAAAGTCCGACAAGCTACATGTTTATTACTGTTCCATCACAGCTGACACTAGCCCAAGACTGTACTACAACTGTAAAATAAAGAAAGGATGGAAGATAAAACCCCTGAACTGAAACAGTAGCACAGTTTTCAACGAACCAGAATGCAGCAAATATTGAGAAACTCAGCAGCACACGACAGTGACCACTTAATGTTTCTCAAGAGATAATGGCCACTCAAGGGGATGAACTGCTCAGCTGGAAAGAACAAAAGTGCATAATGCCATTTGTAGAAGGTATGTGTTAATGCTATTGAGAATTTCACAATAGCCCTAACCCTTCAGGTGGAAACCAAGAATCTTTCCGTTAAACTCTGAGGTGAAGAGGTTTCACTTGAGAAGAATAAACTTGTATATTAAAGAAAATGTCTAGCAGTTTTTCCAAAAAAATGGATTTCAGGGCAGCACATGACAACTTTTCCTTCTTGATCTAATTTTTGTGATGCTCTCTCTCTGAAACAGTTTTGGTGCCAAAGCCAATTTGCAAATATTTTATTGGAGTTTTGTGCAATTTCTCAGTTCTTGCAGGAGCAAGGCTTAAATCAGATTATAAAAGAAGTTGTGCCATGCCTTTTGGCTATATAGACACACATTTCCAATTATTTTTACTCAAATGGCACACTTCGGTCTGGACCTGGATTGGGAATAACCTTTATATGAGTATACACTGACAGATCCAGACCCATCACTATTCCCCTCATTTCTGAACAAGGACTCGGAGTACACAGAGCTGGAGCTGTCATCAAGTGGTCTGATGGGTGAATCTCTCCTGAGTTTCCCAGCTGATGTTAGTAAAATTCTGCTTAGTACATGCAGTTCA